GCCTTCATGAGAGGATTAGTCTAGATTAGAGTTCTTAGTTGAAATGTTTGAGATCATGTGATTGCTTGTTATGTCTTTCTGTATAAGATTTAGTCTTCTTGGTTGAGAGATTGTTTGGTCACTTATTAGGCTGATGCATATCGATTGCTGATTGCTTGATTATATCTAATGGTTGTTAGACTTGATTAAGTGATATGCAAAGGGATTATTGTCATGGGAATGAATTAATCTGATTAAGAAGCCTAGACTAAAGAGTAGTAAGTGTTGCATTATGTTCTTAGCATCATGATTCATATCTAAAGCACCCTAATCAATGATCACATCTAGAGGTTTAGCTTTTATCATTTGCTTAATCACCATCATCTTGTTTTGTTTGCTTGCTTAGTTCATTAATCATAGCTTGTTTGTTTCTTGTTTTATGCTTTCTTGTTACTTTGTTCACACCAAAACTCATCTTTGATCACTTGACTTAAGAACTTATCACATAAACTAGTGCCTAACTACCACACATATGGATTGACACCCCTTATACTTTGACAAGGGGATTGATAACCCTTCTTAAGGCCTTAAAAACTTAAGTTATCAAGTAGAGGAGGGTCTGGCCAAGCTCGAGAAGGCCAAAAACGACGAGAACGATTTGGGGCAAATCAAGGGCAACCTTGCGATGATTGTCGTCCTGAAGAAACCAGACGCCCCAACGCTCGATGATGAGGAGGCGCAGCTAAAGAGCTTGGAGAGCGAATATGCCGACGACGACGCGTATGAGCGCATCGCCTCCGAGATTCGAGGCGAGCTGGTTTTCTCGCCCGTATCGCCGGACTCGGTCGACACCAGCCTTGGTAACGAGCCGCTCAAAGAGACAGCGGCGAACTTAGGCGTCGTAGATCCGAACGGATCGAACGTGGGTACGCCGGTCCTCTCGAACCTCCTTGCCGAGCGTGAAACGCGGTCCGCGGCCTGATACTCTCTGCTTTCTCCTATTTTGTCTCACATGCTTCTGTACTTAGGATTTTTATCTGCTTTTTGAACTCATATGTTACTGGTGCCGGGATGGCTAAATCCACCTGACAATTGTCATTTCTTTTGCATTTGGTTATGTTATTCTTTTCCTTAGCCGTTTTCTGATTCAGTTGTTTCCGTGAGAATGTTTACGAAAACTGTTGGCTTAGAAAGGATTGTCATGGATGAAAATTGCTGTGTCGAGAATGATTTTGATTGCTTCCTTAGCCAAAATTTTTGAAATTGATAAAAATACGGGCTAAGGGGTGAGTTGTTTTGAGGATCCCGTTTGGATTCTTAATCCCGATCTTGGAGGTAGTTTTGTAACGTGTCTTTTAGGTGATTCTGGAAAATTTTTAAGTGATAATGTCGAGGCAAATTTTTGCTGGCAATGCCGAGCCGTATTTAACGACGAGACGTTTTCGCTGTGTAAGGTGCCGAGCCGTGTAAACAACGAGGTGTTTTCTCTTTGCGTGGTGCCGAGCCATGTAAACGACGAGGCGTTTTCGCTTTGCATAGTGCCGAGCCGTGTAAACGATGAGGCGTTTTCGCTGTGTATGGTGCCGAGCCGTGTAAACGACGAGGCGTTTTTGCTGTGTATGGTGCCGAGCCGTGTAAACGACGAGGCGTTTTCTCTTTGCGTGGTGCTGAGCCGTGTAAACGACGAGGCGTTTTCGCTTTGCATAGTGCCGAGCCGTGTAAACGACGAGGCGTTTTCGCTGTGTATGGTGCCGAGCCGTGTAAACAATGAGGCGTTTTTGCTTTGCATGGTGCTGAGCCGTAAGAACGACGAGGCGTTTTGTTTTTGTTAGCCAAGGATGATTTGGTAGTCTCATTGAATCTGACTATGGACCGGCGTTTCTGAGAGGATGAATATGTTTGTCCGGGTTTTAAGAGTTTACTTCGGTTTTAGAGAAAGCGATGTAGTCTCGACTTATATTCTCGTGTGCGATAGTAAACCGTGGCGACCTGATACGTTTTTGGTCTGATAACTTGCACCCTCGTCCTAGGAAAGGTGGTAAAAGTCCGTTTAGAGAACTTTGTATTTGTTGCCCCGTTGTGGCCAGCAACGAGACGAGGCGTTCGGAGGCTTAGTTTGCCGAACTGAAACTGAGGACCGATAAAGGTCCGAGGTAATCAGGTCATGATATCATGCCGAAGTGGTATGATTACTCGCTGAAGTGATGAGTGAAAGAATTTAAAAATCCAAACTTGTTAAAATAAGTTGCTGATTTAGAAAGAATGAGAAACTAGCTGAAGCGATAATGAACGAACTAGAAATCCAAGGTAAACGTGAAATAAGTAGATGATTCAAAACAAACTGAGAATGTGCCAAGGTGGCGATATTCCTAAGTGAGCAAGCTAAAATTGTAGAGTTAAAGGAGGTATGTGTATACATACCCACTCCCCCCCCCCCTTTTTAGGAGGGGGGACAGCTGAACCCGTCCGAGGACGGGCTGCCTACGTACCCTTTGCAGGGATCAAGCCGTCCCGTAGTTCATGCTGGCCGTGCTGTAGCTTTAGTGATAATACTTCTTTAGATGCATTGCGTTCCATGATCTAGGAATCGCTTCGTCAGCTAGTGTCGCGAGTTCGTAGACTCCTGGACGAACCACTTTTGTGACCTTGTAAGGACCTTCCCAATTTGCTCCGAGCTTGCCTGCGTTCTTTTCGGCAGTGTTTTGGAAGACCTTTCGGAGGACGAGCTCCCCTTCGTTGAACCTTCGACTACGAACGTTTTTGTTGTAGTATCTCGCCGTTGCTTGTTGATAGTTCTGGATTCGAATTAAGGCTTGGTCGCGCTTTTCGTTGATTAGGTCGAGCTCATCTAGCATCATTAAGTGGCTCAAGCCCTCCTGTCCTGGTAGAAGTCTTCGTCGAATACCTGAGAAATCCACCTCGGGGGGAATTATGCACTTCGATACGTAGACCAAAGCGAATGAAGTTTCCCCGGTGGCTCGGCGCGGAGTTGTCTGATGAGACCAAAGGACTCCTTCGAGTTCGTCTGCCCACCGTCCCTTCTTGGCGTCGAGCCTCTTTTTCAGACCGTCGAGGATCGTCTTGTTGGCTGCTTCGGCTTGTCCGTTCCCTTGAGGGTATCTTGGCGTGGATTTGCTGAGGCGGATTTTCCACTTCGGCTTCTGCTTCGAGCGATGTAGAGGTCCAACGATGTCCATCGACCATCTCATGAACGGATAAGGTGACGAAATTGTTGGAGCGTGCCGCTGACACTTCTCGCACTTCGCCGTAAATTTCTCGCAGTCCTTGACCATCGTGGGCCAGAAGTAGCCATGCCGTTTTATCTTGATAGCAAGCGACCTTCCGCTGGAATGGTTCCCGCACGCGCCGCTGTGCACCTCGTGCATGATCTTTCTTGCCTCCGGTCCTTCGACGCATGTCATGAGAGGCCCTGAAAATCTCTATTTAAACACCTCGCCATCGACGAGGACATACCGTGCGGCCTGAGCTTTTAGTTTGCGGGCTTCCCATTTGTCGGTTGGCACCTCTCCATCGGCGATATACACTCGGATGGCTCCGAGCCATTCTTTGTCGCAGCCATACTCCGGCTCGGCCAGTGAGGCGTCTTCATCCATAGGAATGGCTTCGTCGTCCTCTGGTTCTTGTTCAAGAGGATTTATCAGCCGAACTCCTTCCACCTCTTCGATGCTAGGACGTTCGATGAATTCAACTGGGATCGTCCGTCGGAGGTCTGGGTCCGAGGTCGAAGCGAGTGCTGCCAAGGCGTCGGCCGAGGTGTTTTCTCCTCGGGGATGCGCGTGAGTTCAAACTCGTCGAACTTTTGCACCAACTCTCGGACCACCTTAAGGTAAGCTCCCATTCGTCCATCCTTTGCCTCGTATTCTCTGTTGAATTGACATGCTACGAGCTGTGAATCGCAAAAGGTTCTTATCTTTCGAACTCCGATTCCCTGCGCTAGTCGTATGCCGGCGATCAGTGCTTCGTATTCCGCTTCGTTGTTCGAGGCGTGGAAGTTTAGGCGAAAAGACTGCTTCAATATTTCTCCGGTGGGAGACGTGAGGCGGATTACTATTGCCGAGCCGTGTTTAGACGACGAGCCATCGACGTGCAGCGTCCACACTTCGTCTAGAGTCGGCTCGTTTGTTGCTTCGGCTGGAAGTTCAATGAGGAAATCTGTGAGCACCTGTGACTTTGTAGACGACCTGTTCCGATACTCGATGTCGTATTCACTTAGCTCTATGGCCCATTTGGCGAGCCGACCGGATTGGCTAGGGCTGTGTATGATCGAGCGCAGCGGGAGCGTAGCGAGCACAACAATCGAATGTGATTGAAAGTACGGGCGCAGTTTGCGACCCGAGACTATGACGGCTAGGGCGACCTTCTCGATCTGGGGGTAGCGGGTCTCGGCGTCGGTCAGTGTCTGGCTAATGTAGAAAATGGGTTTTTGCTCGGATCGTTCTTCTCTGATAAGCACTCCGCTTACAGCTGTAGCAGACACTGCAATGTAGAGGAAGAGCGGCTCTCCTTCGACTAGTTTTGCTAAGATTGGTGGGCTCGCCAGATAATTCTTCAATTCCTGGAAAGCCGTCTCGCATCGTTCGTCCCACTCAAATTTCTTGTTTCCTCGGAGGGTGTCGTAGAAGGGCAGGCATTTGTCTGTGGAACGGGAAATAAACCTGTTTAGCGCGGCGACTCTTCCTGTGAGCCAGTCCGGATATTTGGCCTCGGCGATTGATCCTACTTTGAGTAACCTCTCGACTTCATCGTTCACTGCTTTAGCTAGTTCGGGGCCGAGCTTCCTTCTTTTCTGCTTGACTGGTTTAAAGGTCGGATCCACATTCAGCTCGTGACAAGTTACGTCGATACTTATGCCTGACATATCTTCCGCTGTCCAGGAAAAAGTGTTGATGTTCTCCTTGAGGAGGGAAAAGAGTTCGCTTCTCAGAGGCTCTTCTAGTTTTGTTCCAATTTTGACGCATCGCTCCGGACGCGCCTCGTCTATACACACCGAGTCCACTGCATCACATACCGGCTCGGCGCATGTTTCGCGGCTCTCCGTGATCTGTAATTGCTATAAGAGTTTCGAGAGCTCGTTCGCGGGCTCTCAGTCTGTCTTCATCTTTTTTGCGGTCGATGTCTGCTCGTGCGTCGGTGACGGGGTTCCTCAGCTTATGTTCGGCTAGGCAGCACATTCGTGATTCCTTCTGATTCTCCCAGCTCGTTTTGACACCTGCTGGAGTTGGGAATTTGAGGCAGAGATGATAGGTGGAGGGTACCGCCCTCATCCCGTTGATCCATGGGGTTTCCATGATCACATTGTAGATTGCTGGGTGATCAGTGACGCAGAATTCGACGATCTTAGTGACTCCGCCAGCTACCACAGGAAGCCTGATCGTCCCCATAGTCATCGTCGTTTCTCCTGAAAATCCGGTTAGAGGTTTGGAGATTGCTTCCACCTCGGAGAGGTCGATTCCCATTCTTCTAAGTGTTTCCCTGAAAATGACGTTCACTGAGCTTCCAGTATCGATGAGCACCCTTGCCACGTCATGATCCCTGATCGTTAACTCGATCACCAACGGATCGTTGTGAGGTCAAGCAATTCCTGCCGTTTCCTCCTCGGCGAAGGAGATTACTGTGTTTGGGATGTCGGTTGGTTCTATCCAATTCTCCTTTGCTTCGGCTCGGCGCTGATAGGCTTTGATGGAGGACACGGTATCTTGGTAGTATTGAGATCCACCCATGATCATATTGATCCTTTGCCTCGGCTCGGGTCGCTCTTCGGGTTCGCCTCTCCTTTCGCGTTTGGAGTTATCGCCTCGTCTAGGAGGATTTGCGAGTTCCGCCGCGCCGTTCGGCTCGGCTCTCTCTTGTTGTTCGTTAGGGACGAGGTCTTTGAGGCTGACCGCGTTTTGGAGCTCTCCCGCTGCCATCTTAGCTGCGAGCTTTGCTCCTAAAGTTCGGCATTGAGCCGTTGAGTGCCCGTAGGTCTGGTGATACTCGCAGAAAGCCTTCTCGTCGTAGTTAGCGGACTTGCTTACCCAAGTGTTGTTGTGTGGCTCTCCTCTTCCGCGTCCGGCGCCTACCTGGTAGTTATGGGCACCTCCGCTTCTAGGTTCGTCCGAGCCCTGCATTGTTGTGTTGTTCGATGGGTTGCCCTTCTTCGCGGGGCGCGGCAAAATTGAGCTTCAGATTGCTGCTTTCGTTGCCTCGTACTGCTCGTCCAAGTTTTTCATCTCCTCCTCGTTTACGACGAAGTCTGATGACCGGTGCAAAGCGTCTTGAATTGTTTGTGGCGTGTTGAGAGCCATCTCCCGTCGGAACTCGGATTTGTACCACAAAGATCGTTTCAGAGCCTCGAGCGCGGCCTTGTCACTTATCCCTTCTATTTTGGACACGTCTGCCTTGAATCTTGTCATGTAATCCCAAAGTGGTTCGTTTGGTCCTTGGGATAGTGTCCACAGGTCGGCATCAGACGTTCCTCTGTCCATGAACATCGAGTATTGTTTGAGGAACAAGGCAGAGAGCTGTTGAAAACTGCCGATTGAATTGCGCTCCTGCCTCGAAAACCATTCGACTGCGGCTCCCTTAAGATGCTCCACGAAGAGCAGGTAATATCAAGCATCTACTTCACGCTCGGTAAGTTTAGCGGCGTTCTTTGTGAAGGCTCGTCCCATTGCTATCCGAAACACTGTGATGTGTGCTTTCGGATCGGTTGTTCCTTTGTAGAACGGGATTCTCACTTTCCCGGGCTCGGGAATCCTTGCCTCCGTGATTCTTGCCATGAATGGAATTCTCTGGGTTTCTTCAACCATTCGGTCGATTTCGGGCGCGGTGCTTGTTGCGTTGTGCACGTGGGACTTCATGGCGCGTATTTCAGCTACTATACGAGCCATTGAGGCTCGCAGCTCCTTGAGTTGGAGAGTTTGTGCGTGAGTCATTCCCTTTGATTTGGGGGGGGGGGGGAGGTCGCTCTCGCTCCTCTCTCCTCGGCTCGTCTTTGCGTTCTGCCTGCTCGATCTACTGGAGGTTTTCTTCCTCCTCGGTTGGGTTGTCGCCGCGGGTCGGATCGGAGACTTCGTCAGTTCGAACGCCGTTTAGTGCCGAGGCGAGCTCTTCTTGACTTATTCGCCGAACCGAGCCGGTTTGTTACGGATTCGTGGTTCCATCGTTCTGCTGGGCGTCCACGTCGATCGCATCGTTTTCTTCTTCGTCGGCTCGTCGCCTTGAGTTTCGGCGGAGAGGGGGCGGCTCGGTCATGTTGACTCGGGTCGCCGCGGGAGTCTGTTCGTCGAGGGGACGAAACATTGGAGGAGCCGAGGGGTTTCTTGCGCCGCTCCCTGAGGCTTCTGCAGGTGTTGAGAAATCGAAGCGTCTCCGGATTCCATCCATCGGGTCGGGAATTCCTGCTCTCCAAGTTGGGCGTAGTCGCTCAGCCGCCATCGCGTCGAGCCTCTCTGTAATCGTCTCGTTTCTTTTTTCCTGCTCGTCGATTTTCTTCATCAGCGCAGCCATCATGTTTCGCATCCCCTCTTGGGTTTCGGTTGTCGCCGTCGTTGTTCCTGATGCTGGAGCGTCCTTCTCCGCGCCGTTATCGTTGTTGTTGTTATCGTCGAGGGTGTTGCTCGCCATGTTCTTCGGATCTTAAAGTCTTGTCGATTTTAGAGTAAGAAAGTTTCGATTCGCCACACACGGCGCCAAATTGTGTGAGCCAAAACTCGCACAACCAGAAATTTGTTTAAGGAAAACTAAGGGATCTGAAACTTCTAGGGTTATCGCAAGAACAATAAGATCGAAAGAGTGTTTTTACTGCTGTGAAAGTGTTTAGCTCTTATTGCTTAAGGTTGCAAAAGTTACAGAATGAATTGTATACATCGTCTATTTATACTAATTCTCTGAACCGCCTAGCCGAGAATCTCGGGAGAGATTTTTGGAATATTTTCTTATCGCCTCGTGTGGCTCACCGCTTTTGTATTTCGCCAAGGGTTTCTATGGGCTTCGTCTCTCAAGGCATTGGTTCGGCCCATCTGAACTTCTCCACGGCTCGGCCCACTTGCCATTTGAGTCGAAACGTGATTTGGTCCACCTCACCGAGGCGTGGCTCGGCCCAAGCATGTTGAAGTGCGGCTCGGCCCATTTCTCATGATACGGCTTGGCCCTTCTATCTTTCTTCACGGCTCTCCCCATTGGTCTATTTTCACGGCTCTCCCACTTGGTGACCACGTCTCTCCTACTTGTATTGGTAACCACGGCTCTCCCACTTTTCTTGGTGAGCACGGCTCGGCCCCTGTTTGGTGGACGGCTCGGCTACTTTGTCTTTCTACTATACTTAGTCATTTTGAGATGGTTTTATCTGCTTGGGGTGAAAACCGACCCCAACAATCGTTGAGAACAAGGTTGCAAGAAAGCTAAGCTTCTTTGAATAATAATGGTCAGAGTTTTGTTCTTACAAGTCGAGACATCAACGATATATATAGTAAAGGTTAAAAGCCTTAAACGATTAGGAAAAATAAAATTAATGTTTAAGTAAAAAGGAAAGCAAAAGAGAATAAGGAAAATTAACTAATGCTCAAAACCATATGCATTCCTCCTTTGTCCTGAAGATTTGTCCAACGTAAATGTATTTCCTTCGTACTGAACATCAACTATCCCTCGCGCTAACCCATCTCGTATTAATGGAAACAAGTTAACTCTATTAAACATGTTAATAGAAATAACAGTTACAAAAATAGTTACACGGTAACTTTTTTGTTTGCTAACCTCCCCCTATAGGGTCATCAAAGTATGGAGGCGCATCTCTTTCGTGCAAGGCAGGCTCTACTGTTGCCTCAACCGTAACAGCCGGTGTGTAGTTCATTATGACCAAATTTCCGGACAGTAAAAATGGCGGGTAGCTTAACTGGTGCGTGTTAGGTGGTAACAACTGTTGTGGAAAGCCTAACACATTATTGCTATGGGGTAACAGTTCAGTGGGAGTCCCTAACGGTTGAATGTTAGCTGGTAAAATTTCATGGGAAATCCTTGATGATGGTCTTACTTCACAGATCTGAATACCTCTCTCAATCATCAGTACTCATTTACCTTTGTTAACAAGCGTGGTAGGCTCTTGTATGGTAATTGCCTACTGAGTGGCTGTTTGCAACATTGGGTCAGGAAAGAGGTCACCCTATAAACATGCGATCAAATACTCACCTTCTCCATCTTTCTTTTGTTAAGTCAATATGCATTAATGTAATAAGAAGCATCAAATTACCACCTCGCCTACGAGTGATATATGAATGTCAAGCTCTTCCACTGTGTCCAGCTCTCCCTCAGAGAAGTCATGGCTACTCAATGAAGGTGGAATTGACGTGGAGGAGGAAGGCGACTATACATACGCCATAGTGACTTGTGTTGGCACAACAGTGAACTCACGTTCATCATCGATGTATGCCCCAGCTAATGTAAGTTGTAGTCCTGCTTTACGGCAGGCGGTAAGGAGTTACAACGCTTTCACGGGACCATCAATATCCATAACATCAACGGCTTCAGTTACATTTTCGACAGCCTTCTTGACAATATCATCTACAGCTCTCCTAAAGAGACCTGGTGGTCCATGGAAGAAGCGCGAGAGCTCTGATAGATCACGAGGAAGGGTAGTGGCATTTCTTAGCCTTTCTCCGTTGCCAAAGTTCATGTCCGGAGATGCATCAAACTTTATTCCTGCAGATTCATATGACGAATAAACGGATATTTTAGTTTATATGTTGTTGACAACTTCTCTATATTTGGTGAAGGATTGTTACAAGTAAAAATAAAGCAATAGTTTACCTTTTCCTCGTCCAGAAGTGTTGACTTTTGCAGCTTCTGTAGCCGGCCAACTATTGGAACCACTTGCAAAGACATCTGTTAAACAAAAGCCTAGTAACGTTTGGCTTAAAACTTTCTCTGAAAAATACATTCAAAGTTTACGTAAGATTTTCGCACACAATAAAGTGTAGAAGTGTGTTCGGTTTGTACCTTCTTTGCTGTCATCACTGGCAGCAAGGTTGTACTTTCCATTCTTTCAACAGCTGTGATAGAAAAGATTTTTGATTTGATGTTAATTTATTTTCAAATAAACTTCATAGGTTCATTGAAAATGTGTAAACCTTTTTACCTCTCAAAGGTGGTAGAACTGTTCTAGGACTGTCTGTTAAGGATGAAGTGCTCGAGTACTGCATACCATAGGGGAAAATAGATAGTCCTGTAATGTCGTTGTTAACAAAGTTAGCATTTAAGTCCAATGCTCTCCTAAATATGCTAACAGTGCTCTTTGCTGTCGTAGGGTGAACCTTCACTCTCAGAAACATCTCGTCCAGATCTGCCTTAAAAAGGCCGCATCTTCTTCATTCAAAATGAATATGGGTGGAGATTTCCTCCATTCTGGACCCAGGATCCAATGGGGCCATGTGTAAGTTATGTCGACATCGTCTTTTGCTTCCAATTTGAACCCCAATCTGATTACATCCAACATCGAACTGAAAGAGTCTCCTTCCTTCATACTGGCGGAGGCGTTAAATACCACCTTCGTCAGGTTCGTGAACTCATGTTCCATTACTCCGTTTTTTCCACACGTCTCGAAAAACAGCCACTTGAAGAGTCATCGAACCCTAATTCTATGTAGAATTTTAAAGGTCGTGTGTTATATATTGTACATAACTGCGATAGCGAGATTTATCGATAGTTGTGGTTAAATACATAGCAAAGTTAGGCATAAATTTTTAAAACAGGGATAGCATAGGAAAAATTTCACCTTGCCCTATTCTCAGGAAAACATAGATTTTCCAACTTCTTCCTCACTTTCACCTGCACTTATTACAGACACAACCAAGTTTCTTCGTATTTAATGAAGCAGAGAGAATGTTTTTTGCTGACCCCTACTTACCGTCGATGCATTAAATAGAGGAGGTAACAAATATTAAATTAATTGTTAGCATTCCGATGTAAGTTATTAGCTGAATTAGTTATCGACCATAGCGTCCAATAACTTTTGCATTCGCTCAGGGCATGAAATGCTAATGTCGGTTTGCAAAATCTTCCGAAAATATTGATGTATTCAGCAAGCGTAGGGGCAAATTGGGCAAGGAAAAATCTGCACCACTTTTCAACTTTA